TCCAAGTCCAATAACAATAAAAGGGTATTCTATTCTATTCTTCTGTTCTAACAAGTTTGTGCTTTGTATTCACCAGCAGGCCTCTTCCTCTTGGGAGATGGAGAATCAGAATCAGCATACTTTATTAATACCCATGTCTGCAGAACCCAGTCACAATAATGACACCATATATTCAGCCTGTTCCAAATAAGAACATTATTCCCTTCACATTATACTTACAAACACGTCATATCAGTATGACACTCAAGGCAACTGAGAGTGCCAGCACACAGAGTCTCACATACTTTTATTATTGTTCAGAAAGACATTTTCTTTTCTGTTCACTTCTTGCACACACTCTACCTCTGCAGTTCTCACATTTGCTTTTCAGGACCATTGCTGCTGTAACTTCACTGCAGCTTTGGTGCTGTCAGCTTCAGTACTGCTCATCTCCACACACACATAAGTCCCAGTGTCCCACTGCGTAAAATAGGAGAGGTATAATTAGGTGAAGGTTGGCAGCTGTCCCAGCCAGCCTCCCCTGGCACTGCCCCTGAAACCCCTGTACCACCCTTCCCTGCAGCTGAGTCACAAACCACACCCTGCCACCACAATCTGTTGCTGCAAACTGTTTTAATGTCACTTTTCAGCAGAAACATATCAGAAAACCTATTTGCTGTTAAAATTTACCTTAGCGTGGCTTTAACTTCATATATTTTCTTTACATTTTTATTATTGCTGTTCTGTTTTGTATATAATTTGTGTATCTTTCTGTAAGATGATTTATACATCGGGGAAACCAAACAACCTCTAGGGAAGCAGATGGGACAACACAGAAGAGCTAACTTGTCAGACCAGTGCTCTGCAGTCTATTTAAACCTAGAGACCAGTGGACACTCTTTCAATGATGAGGATGAACACGTCCTGGACAGGGAGGAACCCTGGTTTGCTAATTTTGATAATTCTTCCAGAAGTGCATTTGTGTGACCTGGCTCACAGTCTCTGCTCTAATTCATCCCAAGGATGCTCTGTCAGGTTGAGGTCAGGACTCTGTGCAGGCCAGTCAGGTTTTTCCATACCAAACTCACTCATCTACATGTTTATGGACCTTGCTGTGCACACTGATGTGTAGTCATGTTGGAACAAGAAGGAGCCATCTGTTTCCAAGAAGTTAGGATCATGAAATTGCACAAAATGTCTTGGTGTGCTGAAGCATTAAAGAGGCCAAGGACAACTCCTTACAACTCCAGACAAGTGCCATTCTCATGGCAACTGCCAAGCCCAGTCTCACCCATCGGATTGCCAGATGGAGAAGTGGGATTCATCACTCCAGAGAACATATCTCCAGTGCTCCAGAGTCCATGCATCCCCATCACATAACCACTGCATCCGACACTTTGTATTACACTTAATGATGCATGGCTTGGATGCAGCTGCATGAAGCACTCCACACAGTGTTCTTGAGCTAAATTGAAGGCCACATAAAGTTTGGAGTTCTGTAGCGATTGACTCTGCTGAAGGTTGGCGACCTCTGTGCACTGTGTGTATGTTTGTAGAAGCAGTCTAGTTGATTTTATACACATGTGGCCATGGAAGTGTTTGGAACACCTCAATGATCTGGAAGTGTATAAATGTAGAGTGTACAAGTTTACAGATTTATTTATTTTTTTTTGCCACTAATTACTTTGCTGCCAATTGAATTTTACAGCTGGGATATATGTAGATTTAGAAATCAGGTAAAAGTATTAAAATTCAAAGAACACCAATAGATTTAAGAGAGAAAGAGATTCATCAGCACCAGTGTTGGTCAAGTTACTTGAAAAAAGTAATCGGATTACTGCCCTTCTTATAGTAAACTTACCCTTCATGTTGTCTTTATTCAATTTCTCAAAAAAGAGTGCAATAATTTATTCAGTCGTGAAAACAGTTGTAAGCAGGTTTTCTGAATCCATCCATCCGCATCCGCTTATCCTTTTCAGGGTCGCGGGGGGCGCTGGAGCCTGACCCAGCTGTCATAGGGCGAGAGGCGGGGTACACCCTGGACAGGTCTGTCGCAGTGCCAACACACAGAGACAGACAACCATTCGCACTCACATTCACACCTATGGGCAATTTGGATTATCCAATTGACCTATCCCCACTAAGTGCATGTCTTTGGACAGTGGGAGGAAGCCGGAGTACCCGGAGAGAACCCACGCAAACACGGGGAGAACATGCAAACTCCTCACAGAAAGACCCCGCCTGATGGTGGAATTGAACTCAGGACCTTCTTGCTGTGTGGCAACAGTGCTAACCACTGTGCCACCATGCTGCCCTGAATGAATCTGTGTATTCTATTAAAAACAAACATAAACAATAAACTTAAAGCTTAAAGGACATGTTAAATATGTAGCCTGAAAAGCATTTTAAACAGGTCTTGATTATAATTAGCTCACTTTATTTTCTCCTGCATTCCTTCACCAGAACTTGGTGAATCATAACATGTAGCCTTTGTGAATACATTCGATCTCAGTTAACTTCTAACTGGCCCCCTATCTATCATCAAGCCTCTTCAGTGCATAGAATAGCTCTCCCACACATGGATTTATTCATTTTCCATGATCTGAAATACTCCTGTAGTATTAATCAATTGAGCATACGGAGTCAGATGCCCAGAACTTGAAAGAAAAGTAGCTTGCTTTAATTCTCTTTTGTTCCCTAACTTTTTTTT